AGGTGAAATCAAGTAGCCAATTTTATTTTTTGACGGTGCAAAACGTTTCGTGGACATACAGCACTGACTCTGGAAAGTCTGCCAGCCCCGAGTTAACAATCCAAGATGGCGGCAGTGAACGTAAACAGTTGTAAAACTGTAAAATGTTTAATCTGTACAGTCACTGATGTGTATATGTGACATCATCATCATTTACAAGGCTCTATCCATGCAGTAAAAAAGGTGATGCATTTCGTTAACTACTACTACTACTAATAATAATAATAATAATAATAATAATAATAATAATAATGATGATGATGATGATGATGATGATGATGATGACGATAAGGTAGTACTAGCTCACCTATTTTCGGTCCAGGAGGATCTGAGAAGACTTTGTAGTGAACTCCAACAGGAAGCTCTTTTCTGTCAACTTTCTCGCTGATTTGCAGCTCATACGCTTTTCTCTGACTCCCGTCCACAGCAGTCACAACCACTACATCCCAAAACTCACCAGGCTGCACCTCTCGACCTTCAGGTAAACAGGAAAAAGAGCATTCATAGCTACTTTGACTAAACTTCGAGGCACATTGAGTCATTGACATTTAATCTCACCACGCAGAGAGTTAAATTTTCTGAGTTTTTTTCTTGTAGCAGTTTGAAGCCTCCTTGTACAGTCGTGGCTCATACTTTCGTTTCTGATACAAATTAAATATAGAAACTAGAATGTATATTCCACCACGGAATGACAGTCCCTTACTTCCGGGTGTGGTCACATGGCTCGTTGCGCTATCCAATGGGAGGAGGAAGTCGGAGCCCTCGAGTAAGTACAGTAAGTCCATTCAACTAGCTTGTGTTTTAGGTCATTGTTGTCATCATTACGTCTGTCTTTACTAGATGCTGTGAATATGCGGTACTCGAGTGCCGCGTATGTGTATATAGCACTGCTAATGCTAGCCTGAACAGATACGTCTTGTTAGCTTGGCAGTTGTAGTGGTTTATGCTAATTCTCGTCCCAACTGTTTACATCTGGTTATAAGAGCTGGAGCGGGGGAGTTATATACTTTCTTTTTACATTTCACTGTCAGACTCAACGCAGGAACACACCGGTTACATTAAGTTGTTTTCAGTTGTTTCTACTCACTCAAAATCACAACAGTACCAGGATCGATACTAAGCACCTATTTCTGGCCTGAGTGATAGCCTGCTGCCCTGAACACTGACCCTACAAGCTGCATTCCTGCTGAGTCGTTTTAACATTAAACAAATGGAGTCATGTATCTCCAAGATAACATAAGTGTAAATTTACACAGACTGGTTGCCAAAAAAGGGAAAACTAAAGGACCGATTATCATGGTCTCTTAAAAGATAAACAAAGATTACTGCTACATATTATTCTACAAAATTATAGATTAATTAATAGCAAAAATAATTATAATAAAAAGGAACATATACTATGGATATATCTGTATTTATAATCGTAACAGCAACTACTCAGTGATCTGAGGAGATGCTTTGGTTGAATACTGTGCACTCAGGAAACATCACATCCTAATCCAGAAACGCTGACATGAGATCCAACATGTGTTGTTACGCCAGTCTGTAGGAGAAGAGATTCATCCAGAGGATGGATGCTTGCTCCAAGTGATGTGTGATGGAGACATAAAGGCTCCGGATACAGGTTAGAGCTATGCTGCATTTCTACTGTTACACAGCAGCAATGCTGGTATCTCCCCAATCTGAACCAAGAACATCAAATGTCAAGTTTCAGTGCGCTGCAGAGCAGATAGTTTTGAGCTGTAATAAGATAATAATCCAGGAATCTTTGCATCATTTGTTTTACTGAAATTCACAGTCTTGTTTGAGTCTGCTACAGTTCAAATTTCCTGAAATTCTACAGTTCAGACTACACCGTTTTATATGCAGATTGTCTTTTTTATCCTTGTGTTCACCCCTTTATTTAGCATGAGCATAACTGAATGATTATGTGTCAAGCAAAATACCTGGAAAAACAGCATAACCGACTCCTGCCAGATCAGATTGTTCACAGATGCCTTTTTATTCTACTTTGCTGGCCTCGTGCAGCTGTTACAACACTAGAAGCTTCCAGTGGAATACTGTGAGTTATTGTTTCCTCTAATTTTCTTTCTGTTCATTTAAGAATGGTCAAGAATCCAGCGGGAAGTGAGCAACAATAAAATATTTCAAATAAGCACAATCACATTTTAAGTTTATTGTTTCAGTTCAATCATGATTTAAGATTCTTGACCATCAAACGTCCACATACGACACAATCAGTTCAATTACATTTGTGCAAAACTATACATTGTGGACTAGAAAAAATATACAGCATTACACATGAAATGTACATATTAGCTCCATCATTCGAAGGTTTAATCAACAGTTCAGACTTTATTCGAGGTGATACAAAATACACAAAGAAAACTGAACATTTCAATTTTTCTTTTTTTCGTAACAACTGGCCGTGCCAATAAAAACATGGCTGTCTAGAGATAAACAATGAGATTCTGTTAAATATTTTAAACTACGTACCAAAAACTGATCCATTCATCTATAAATTAATATTGCACAGAAGGTTTAGGCTCTAAGAGGATTCAAATCCAACATTCAAAATATAGTGTACCGTTACTGCACCATTATTACTGCTGCAAACAAGTAGAAGCTTCTACAAACCCAATGCCTTTTATAATCTCAGCATTTCAAAGTTAGCGTTGGACTTTACTGGCACCTTTACAAGAAATGGGACGAACAAAGAGGGCTGATCCTGTTCTTTCCTCCTGATGCTTCTTGTTGTCTCAGTAGACTGTGGTAATACTGGTGTCACAGCACAGAGGGCGGCAGAGCAGCCAAGCTATCCTTGTTGGCCAGCAGGAATTGGCTGCAGGCCGAAAAGGCGCTGTAAAAGCTCGAGGAGAGGCCCGCAATGTCTGTGGAAATGTAGGGGAGGACACCTGGTGTGGCCTGGTTGTAGTAGGTGATCTGAAACACAGCAATCACAGCGTGCGACTGATAATTAACCCTTTCCATTTTTTGCTTTAGTTTTGGAGCGGTGACTTGTTTAAAGCTACAGCATAAAGATGCAGCGCAGCAACTACAGGTTGTGTTTGTGCCCCTTTCATTTGGCTAACCTTGGTAACAGAACTGGACTCTTCCCAGATTGTGAAGCCAGCACAGAGCACCTCTCCCCTCGTGTACTCTTCCGTGGGCGGGTGAGTGGGCAAAGTGACTGAACGTAGAGCGATCAGATACGGATCTCTGAGATGGACAAAGGCAGCGAGCGTCATGAGAACTCATGAAAATGCAAACATGAAGCAGGGAGTGTAATACCACAACTGGTTAATAAGTGGAATAGAAACTCAAAAAGCACAGAGTGTTTTCCCAAAAAGTTGGTTCTGTTCAATCAGCTTTTTGGGATTTCCTCACCTGGATGATTGAGCATCAAGACATTTTAGCCTCAAGAAGCACAGAGTTTTGTGCGAAATTATCACGTGACGCAAGCAAGGTCATATCAACACACCTGGAATCACAGGGCTTCCGTCTAGATGCCAGCAAGATGAAGTCCTTCCCCTTTCCCCCTTTAGTGACAGAGGGTGTAGCTACGCGATAGATGGTGTCCTCCTCATCTGCCTGGTTGATCACCTCACACTCCCTGCAGTTGAAACCCAGTGATGTGGATGTTTAGAGCTTTTATTTTGAATATCCAGTGAATATAAGTGGGTTTGTTTTCATTCTACTGCAATAAAGAGCTGCATGTGTTTTTGCCCCATAATGGAACAACATTGAGAGATTACATGTAAATATAACAGTCTGTCAGCCACGTTGTTTAGTGTATTTGTTTAAAGGATGAATTAGCAATGCATTAAACAGTCTGTCCAATAAACTAAGATTATCTTCCATATAGCCACACTGCCTATGTGCTGGAAATACATGGGAATAATACTGTA